GACATGAATCTCATCGAGAATTTGCGAAATCAACTAAAAGCGCATCTTACTAAGTATCCAAGTCCGTCCAATGGAGTACATGAGCGGTGAAAGCACACCAAGGATATATGGGAGGCTATACCTCCAGAATTTTTACAGACATACACATTAGGTATGCCAAATTGCAACCAGGAACTAAATAAAGCAAAAGCATACTGAACATTGTGTTAATAATTCTTTTTTTTTGTGAAAATTGTCAAAAAGTTATTAAAAATATATGAGTGCAAAACTGTAACATATGCCTTAATTTACATTTTTGTCTGCTGGTTTTGTAAATGTTGTTGAATTGACTTCAAATCGTTATGACAGAGGAAGCAAAGATGTATCAATAAAAATATACAACAACCGTATGAATGTCGTTAGAACTTGGAAAGATAGCGACAGATGAAATAAAAAGTGTTACTCCATGTTACAGTTTTGCTCGTCACTGTACATGCTATCAGTTGTGATAAAGAAACAAAACATCGGTATACGTACTAGATGTGTGTCGAAATAGTATCAAAATCCATAGTATACATACCATGGTGTACAAACCACATGTCTGTCAGGGCTATAAGAAGTGCTACTGAAGTGTCATAAAAGAGTATCGCTGTAACACATAAAGCGCTTGCGGTGTGTGGCAATATTTGCAGTTGCGTTCCACAACCCTATCGTGAACGGCTTGTAATTTTTTAATGAAAGCGCCAAGGCAGGTGAAACTGTGTTGGTATTTTTGGTGCAATTGTACTTTTTTTGATACAATTTCGTTTACAATATGTATACTTTCCCACTACGCAGCCCTTTTTAGTACAATTTTGTGATGAATACTAAAAATATATAACCCTGAAAATTCATTGCGGGAATTTTTGTGTTCTCTTGAAAAAATATTAAAAATGTCTTGAGCGATCTATTATAACATAACGAGGTATGCTATCAGCTTTACATTCCTAGGCAAATTTTTAAATATTTTCAATACTAAATCTTATTGAAACAAAATTTCGAAATCGGCTTCAAATAGAAACAACGGGCCATATGCGTAAAACCTAAGAAAATGCTTTTTCTTAAAAGTTCAGACCTTTTACTCGATTTGATCAAATAAATTTAAGTGAAAGGTATGAAATTTTAAGTAAAAGCAATTGCTTAGTTTTTATGCATACGGC